ATTACTTCTACCTGAGCGGATCAATAGCCCATTTTCTCTCTAACCTATAGAGTCGCGGCATTGCTTTAACGGATAACGTTATAAATGTTTTAGTGAAATATCATTACTGAATTTTTGAATTTCATTGTAGATTTGATGGCAGTATTAATGACGACTCTGGACTTCGCCTGTTGCTATACACCTAAGACTGATTCTGACAAAACGTACCCATTACACAAAGGTATGCTGAATCTTTGTTGTAGATATCAATAATACAATGTAAGAAACATCGAGACCATATAATAGTTCTCCCAATAGAACTAGCATTTACTCAGCCAATCAGAGATAGCAGCGGCCATGTCTTATGTCCGGCTGAAAAAGAACAACACCTTAAAGAGCATCAATCATTTCCATTATTTTTCGACAAAATTGTAGTGGCCTGATATCAAAATAGACCAATGTTTTACTTAAGTGTATGGCGCTGTGAATGGTGTAGGCTGTTAGAGATTTTAATTCAAAACTGCGGGGAATAAACCATTTACATTGTTAATAGGAGTTTAATAAACCGTGTACTCATTTCCTAGAACTTCTCCCGCTGGTTATTATATAAAGGCTAACTAAGATAATAAATCGCAGTCTTAATTAAGTAAGTAGGTACAATAGGTAGATAGGTCGGTAGGCAGGTATAAATGTAAATGAAATTAAATACTTCACTTCACTGAAAAAATAACTGAGATTAACCCCATATACACATGTGCATTGGTTCCCCTTGATGTAAGGAAGCACGTTGTGTTGTTTCTCCGATATTAATCATGTCTCGCGAGAGCAAATCGAGGAGAAACAAATTATAGTGTTTCCACATGGGCCATAAATATTTAGGTGTGACGGTATAAATGGCTAGTAACGATGATCCGGCCACTGCGCCATTACTGCCGTCTACTTCATGACTCGGAACTCTGTTGTCGTGTCTCTTGTTCATTTTTCTAGTTTGACTCCATATAAGGGAAATATTGAACGCGTGAAGGCAACTCGATATGCCTCACACACCAATTCCCCTATGCGTAACATTCATAAAAAATCAACAGCAACCCGAGGGAAATTAATCAAAAACCACAATCAAAGTAATACAGAATATATCAGCAGGGCATTTTCGTTCGTTGTGTATCTAACAAATTTATAGTTTATGAAATGAGGAAATCAGTCAACGTAGATACATTGTGAAATAACACGACATCTATGTTATCAGTATATATATATGTCTATCAGTACACCGCAAATAGGAGTATATGAATTGTTAATGTTAAACGGGTGTAAAGGTAATAAGTGATGCCCTATAACGTTACGATTCACCAGTGAAATAGGAAGTTGTATATAGTAGATGTACTGTATAAAACATAGAAAATCACGCGTACTGGTCATAATTAAGGTGCTGGTATTAGGTTGATCATCATTTAGCTAAATGAAATCAATTTACACATTTTCAATATTATAAATATTGATGGGATATTTTAGGATGAGGGGATTAGTACAAAAAAAGGAAACTTTCGTACCTATGAAGTGACATTTACATTGATTTTTCTATTGTTACTCATATACTGTATGTTCATGTAAGATTTCGAATGATCGACCGAAATCGGCCAATATATAATATAAATGTACAATATTATCACCTACTTTCTCCACGTAAACAGTTTTGATAAGCGATTTGTTTTTTAGTACTTGAACAAACCTAAAAAGAAATATTTTAATATTTTTAAAATAAGTATTGATTTTTTTCTGTTGCAAGCATGTTACTACGGTTGCGTTGGTAGTACTCACAAAACAGCTAAATGTATTTATATTGTTGAAAACAACGGGCATTATTCTTGATACGCAAGAAGAAATACTAGCATTTTCTAATCAGTAAGATATTAATCATCGGCAATTACTTCTCCCCAGAAAAACAATTTCTTCTGACTGAAGAGTTAGCGAAGTCCTTTCTGAAGCCATTTCGTCGTGTCCGGAGAGGGAATGACCCGGTGGGCGAATGCAGAGAGAGGGACGGATGTAGATGGGAGGAACTCAAAGAGTACTATGGAAACTACCCCAATATAATTGTGAGTAACTTCGTTATATGTGACAGGCATTATCTTATATTCTGTATATCATGGCCCTGTTTGTATTTTGATATTATGAAAGTTACGCCATCACATGTGCACAGCAAAATACTCTGAAAAAATAATATTTTCATTAGCAACCATTCTAAATATTCACAAACTGGAATTTCTCCAAGTCTTCATTATCGTGATGTATTTTAAATTTTCCTAGCGATGGAACGTGTTGTAACGTTCCGCCCCCTGCTGATAAGATGAATTTGTATCTTTTTCTGTATCATCGTTTTATTGAAATATCGTCATACTAAACTACACTGTTGAAGGCTTGTGTGCTGTTTGGTTCCTACTTGTTTTACTAGTGGTGTATTCAAAGAATGCAATGCTTGTCATTTAGTTGTAATACAGGACATATACTTATTTCTGTCTCGAATATGCAGCCCTGGTGGGGATGGGGCATCAATTGGTAACACAATCACAAAATTGACTAGAACTTGTATTTGTATTTTAGAAAGAATTCATGCACGAATTCAAATGCGGATCGTACTGCCAACATGATAGTTTTACCTATTGTGAAATCACCAGCACAAGCTATAGAAAAATAGATGATGTCAAGTATCAGTGTTCTCGTAAGTACCCTTGTAAGATTAACCTTTGGATTAGTAGTAAGTTTTCGTTTTCAAAGTTTGCTTTTATTCAATTATAGGAGAGAAAAAAGGTTGTATTCCAGTAGTAAACCCTTTTTGATTGGATAAGAGGAAAACCCATGTTATTTTTATTGTATGAATCAACCGAGGGGGGCAGTATTGACAGGGGATTCAACAACAGATTGTGTGCTCTTAAACTTAATCTGCTAGAATTTTGTTATATCATTATAAGATTTTCGAGTTTATGCATTTTTAGTTTATATATACATGTACTAGCGGAAAAAAGAAACTGTGCATGCGGAGTATTGTTATAGAACATGTATTACCAACTGTATATTCATGAAAATTCACACACATGACCGAGTATGACACATACACACTATCCGTATGTCATTGAAAGTTTTTCCCGTGCAGTTTGCTTTCTATAGGCGTTGACCAGTTTGCACGTTTTTCTCGTCCAGCCATCCAATTCGACAATGACAGTTATTTTTCAACTGTTGGGTCACTCTGTTGAGACCAGTGAGCAGTAAAACCAGCATTATAACGTTTTAATTTGTGATTAATGCTATGTCGAGGGTCAATGGAAATGGCCGCCTCCGGGTTATTGGTATGCTTCAAGCTGGTATGGGCCAAGCCGTTGTCTCCACACGTTTTCATGTCCATCGAAACACAATCCGGGATTTGTGGAGACGACATCAACAGTTTGGCCACGTCGGCGATCGACCTCGTGCGGGACGTCACGTCAACAGGACAACCATATTCGGCTTGTCCATTTGAGAAATCGCTTCCAAACGGCAAGTTTGACTGCACGGACAATCCCTGGGTTGCTACCAATAAGAACTGTACAGAACCGATTGCGTGAACGAGCTATCCGTTCACGACGTCCTGCAATCCGCCCAGTTCTTCTGCGACGTCATCGTGTAGCATGTCTGGACTGGTGCAGAAGGCATCTGCGATTTACTCGACGGGATTGGGCAGGCATTTTGTTAACGGACGAGTCGCGAGTCCACCTGGATAGTAATGACGGCCGTTCCAGAGTGTATCGTCGTGTTGGAGAACGTTTCCGTGACGCGTGTATGGTACAACGACGTTCTTTCGGTGGATGCAACGTTATGATTTGGGGCGGCATCACAGCCAACGGGAGAACGCCTCTGGTGGTTGTTAACGGGAATTTGAACGCCCTACGTTACCGTGACGAGATCCTCCGGACCCACGTCGTTCCATTCGTGCAAGGGCAGCAACGTCACATTACGCTACAGCAGGACAACGCAAAGCCACACATAGCTCGTGTCGCTATCGACTTTCTGGCCCAGCAGAACATTGACGTGTTGCCTTGGCCTGCTGTATCCCCCGATCTGTCGCCCATTGGACACGTCTGGGATGAAATGAAGCGCAGATTACGGCCATTACCTAATCAACCGGTGACGTTGGCTGATTTGGCTGCAGCGTTCGTACAGATCTGGAATGTCATCCCACAAGCATTCTTAAACCGTCTGATAGGCTCCATGTGTCGATGTTGCCAGGCTTGCATTCAGGCAAACAGTGGACATACGAGGTATTAACTTTGTGAACTCAGTATTGACCCTGCTTTGTTTATATCACTCCTGAGCAGAACTTATTGATTCCATAACGTGGAAAATGGAATGCAACTGTTCATCAATAACAAATAAATTGTCCATGAAAACCTTGTTGTTCTACGTCATACACATTTATTTTTATAACACATTTTAGGCATGCACAGTATTTTCCCGTATTATATGTAACATTCAGCAGTCTTTTTGTGGGTACTGTCTCGGAAACTCATAAAGTAGAGGACTACCCTATGGGTACTGTCTCGGAATCTAATAAAGTAGAGGACTACCTTATGGGTACTGTCTCGGACACTAACTAAGTAGAGGACTACCTTATGGGTACTGTCTCAGATACTAATAAAGTAGAGGACTACCTTATGGGTACTGTCTCGGACACTAACTAAGTAGAGGACTACATTATGGGTACTGTCTCGGACACTAATAAAGTAGAGGATTACCTTATGGGTACTGTCTCGGACACTAATAAAGTAGGGGACTACCTTATGGGAACTGTCGTGGACACTAATAAAGTAGAGGACTACCTTATGGGTACTGTCTCGGACACTAATAAAGTAGAGGACTAGCATATGGGTACTGTCTCGGACCCTTATAAAGTAGGGGACTACCTTATGGGTAATGTCTCGGACACTAATAAAGTAGAGTACTACCTTATGGATACTGTCTCGGACACTAATAAAGTAGAGGACTAGCATATGGGTACTGTCTCGGACACTTATAAAGTAGGGGACTACCTTATGGGTACTGTCTCGGACACTAATAAAGTAGAGGACTACCATATGGATACTGGCTCGGACACTAATAAAGTAGAGGACTACCTTATGGGGACTGTCTCGGACACTAATAAAGTAGGGGACTACCTTATGGATACTGTCTCGGACACTAATAAAGTAGAGAAATACCTTATGGGTACTGTCTCGGACACTAATAAAGTAGAGGACTACCTTATGGGTACTGTCTCGGACACTAATAAAGTAGTGGATACTGTCTCGGACACTAATAAAGTAGAGGAATACCTTATGGGTACTGTCTCGGACACTAATCTGTCTCGGACACTAATAAAGTAGGGGACTAGCATATGGGTACTGTCTCGGACACTTATAAAGTAGGGGACTACCGTATGGGTACTGTCTCGGACACTAATAAAGTAGAAGACTACCTTATGGGTACTGTCTCGGACACTAATAAAGTAGTGGATACTGTCTCGGACACTAATAAAGTAGAGAAATACCTTATGGGTACTGTCTCGGACACTAATAAAGTAGTGGATACTGTCTCGGACACTAATAAAGTAGAGGACTACCTTATGGGAGCTGTCTCGGACACTAATAAAGTAGAGGACTACCTAATGGGTACTGTCTCGGACAATAATAAAGTAGGGGACTACCATATGGATACTATCTCGGACACTAATAAAGTAGGGGACTACCATATGGATACTGTCTCGGACACTGATAAAGTAGGGGACTACCTTATGAGTACTGTCTCGGACACTAATAAAGTAGAGGACTACCTTATGGGAACTGTCTCGGACACTAATAAAGTAGAAGACTACCTAATGGGTACTGTCTCGGAGACTAATAAAGAAGAGGACTACGTTATGTGTACCGTCTAAGACACTAATAAAGTAGAGGACTACCTTATGGGAACTGTCTCGGACACTAAAAAAGTTGAAGACTACCTAATGGGTTCTCTGTCTCGGACACTGATAAAGTAGAGGACTACCTAATGGGTACCGTCTCGGACCCTAATAAAGTAGAAAACTACTTTATGGGTACTGTCTCGGACACTGATAAAGTAGAGGACTACCTAATTGGTACCGTCTCGGACACTGAAAAAGTAGAGGACCACCTAATGGGTACTGTCTCGGACACTAATAAAGTAGGGGACTACCATATGGATACTGTCTCGGACACTAATAACGTAGAGGACTACATTATGGGTACTGTCTCGAACACTGATAAAGTAGAGGACTACCTAATTGGTACCGTCTCGGACACTAATAAAGTAGAGGACTAACCTATGGGTTCTTTGTCTCGGACACTAAAAAAGTAGAAGACTACCTAATGGGTTCTTTGTCTCGGACACTGATAAAGAAGAGGACTACCTAATGGGTACTGTCTCGGACACTAATAAAGTAGGGGACTACCTTATGGGTACTGTCTCGGACACTGATAAAGTAGAGGACTACCTAATTGGTTCCGTCTCGGACACTGATAAAGTAGACGACTACCTAATGGGTACCGTCTCGGAGACTAATAAAGAAGAGGACTACCTTATGGGTACTGTCTCGGACACTAATAAAGTAGGGGACTACCATATGGATACTGTCTCCGACACTAATAAAGTAGAGGACTATCTTATGGGTACTGTCTCGAACACTGATAAAGTAGAGGACTACCTAATTGGTACCGTCTCGGACACTGATAAAGTAGAGAACTACCTTATGGGTACTGTCTCGGACAATAATAAAGTAGGGGACTACCATATGGATACTGTCTCGGACACTGATAAAGTAGAGGACTGCCTTATGGGAACTGTCTCGGACACTAATAAAGTAGATGACTAACTTATGGGTACTGTCTCGGACACTAATAATTTAAAGGACTACCTTATGTGTAATGTCCCGGACACTAATAAAGTAGAAGACTACCTTATGGGTACTGTCTCGGACACTAATAAAGTAGGGGAC